CGTAAAACAGCTTATTTATGTACAACAAACGATACGGTCACTCAGATGATTGACTACTAATGACTTTTCGGTCCTTCTTGAAGTTAGAGAGGCGAGTTGGCTCGGGAAGCTCTTCTCTCGTTCACAGAGGTTCGTAAGCTTGGAACTAGAAAGCCCACTGGCCTCTATTTGAAAAAGACAAAAGACCCGTCAAACACGAACTGAAACACTGGTACGAATCAATCATCCGGCTGACCGAATTGTTTGCGTTATGTAGACGTATGAGTGCGTATTTTCGCTGGAGAATGACATTTCCTCCACAAAACGATGGGGATTATTAAATATTGAATATTAAGACTGCATCGTTGTAGTGTTTACCAAATGGCTCTAATGAACCGATCTCCGTCGAGCCATCCGCCAAAACGCTGACTAGGCGGGATGCGCTGGTTCCAGAAGGACCAAAGGTTGGCTAACCGTTGTCACAAACAGCCTGTGTATTTAACTGCGTCGACTTTCAGGTGATCGAGGATAGGACGAACAGCAGTGACGAAAAGGAGTAAGTGCTGTTAGTATTACGTGATCGCGCGGCTGCTCGCACGTACAGACGGCTAAAGGCGACGACTAGCAGGTGCAGGGCTGACGCCTTTCTGAAGTGACGCGCCAATGGGGGGGGAGGCAAATTGTTCGTGCTTTCGTTCGCCTCTTCTCGCATGACTCAATCAGCGACCACAACTTCCTGATTTTCACCGTCATGGCCCCCCCCGCACCCACGCTTGCCTCAGTCTGCCCTGATGCTATGCCACGTCGAGCGGGCGCGCCGTCCTCCAGCGTATTCATCAATCGCCGAATACTTTAGGAGAATCGAAGGCACAATGTGCGAAAACGTCATCATCATACCTCACATGCAGATATTCCGTAATGAACTTCGCTTTTACAATCGCGCCATTACGCTCAAAGAGGGAAATCGAGCAGGTAAGCGTCGTATCGACCTCGGAATTGAACTCATCTCACCAGTGGCGCATTGGCGCGACGGCACCCGATCCTCAAACGTTTCACCCGGTCGTTGTAAATTAACTTTCGTCTGGCTCACAGATGACAGCAAAACGATAGGGCAAGAGATGGTGGTTGAACACGTGCAGCTCTACACGTGCTTGTGAACACCTTGCTGTTCCGCTTATTGCTTTCGCCGCGGCGGTTAATTTAGTAAAGGAGGCCAGTACACTCATCCGCTACCATTCCCGTGTTCTCTACCATAAACGAGCGTTGCTAAAAACGGTAAGAGATTCTCAAGCGTCACTCAGCTGCAAGAAGAAAAATAAAAGTACAGCTTGTGATCTCATTGCACCCCGTACACCGCCATGATGGGACTCTTTAGAGCGCCATTCGTAGCGTGAAGTTAATAGTTGGACCCTGATCTCTATTTCTATGCCATCAGTCAGAAATGCCTTTCTTGTAGGCGGATCCGACAGCAGGTCTGTGACAAATAAACTGTCAAGTCTCGTAGAAACCTCATGAGACCTCACAGGAACCTCTAGGTTCTGTGTCAGACACTACCGAGTTATCAGCTCCGGTGTGAAGCAACGTATGGCAAATTCCTTGCTCAAGGGAATTCATGGAATGTTAAGACAAAGATTGCCCTCTGCCAGAATCGAACCACGTACCTGCAAAGTTGGAAGCAGACCTTTTAAGCACTGTTCCACCATGCCGCCATTGCAGAATCATGAACAACACAAAGCTTAAATCTGTCGGAAACATTACTAACGCTATTTAGTGTAGCTTCGAAACGTTTTTTTGTTCCTCGAATAATTTTAAACGACATTTACTTTCATGACGGTATGGGATCGTCGTCTCTCATCGCAAACTGTCCATAGGCAGTCAACGTAGCTGCCAAAAGAATGTTCTCTATGAACTTCGTTCTGCT